CCTTTTGTACTAAAGTGTAATTTCTGACCTTTTTTTTTTTTTTTTTTTAAATCGCATGGGGGGGGGGGGAGTCCAGCTGGGCCCACTCGGCACGGCGCCCACTGATTGGCCTATTGTACCTGCCCCGGGTGATTATAATGATTGAGAATTTGGTGGTATGGAGTTTGGCAGGAGAAACCGAAGTACTCAGAGAAAACTTGCCCCACCGCCACTTTGTCCACCACAAATCCCACTTGACCAGATCCGGGCTCGAACCTGGACAGTAGCAGTGGGAAGCCAGCGACTATGGAGCGGCGTATTTACTCCCATTCATTCCTTTGAACCAGCCGGTCTGCCGCGTCTGCTTGACTTCTGCAAAATGAATAATTTCATTCTACGTGCACACTGAATGCCCTTCTTACTTATTCTTGGAGCTGAGCCCTTCTGGAAGAGCCGCCAATTCTGCAGTTACTCAAGAATTTCCCAGCATTTTATGGAACCCGAAGGTTCATTACCGTGTTCACAAGAGTCCTCCACTGGTCCCTATCCTGAGTCAGGTCAATTCAATCTCTCTAAAATTCATTTTAATATTATTCACCCACCTACGCCTTGGTCTTCCCAGTGGTCTCTTTCCTTCTGGCTTTCCCACCAATATCCTATATGCATTGCTTGTTTCCCCCATTCGTGCTACATGCCCTGCCCACCTCATACTCCTTGACTTGATCATTCTAATTATACTTGGAGAAGAGTATAAGTTATGGAGCTCCTCATTATGCAGTTTTCTCCAACCTCTTTTCACTTCATCTCTCTTCGGTCCAAATATTCTCCTCAACACCCTCAGTCTATGGTCTTCCCTTAATGTCAGAGACTAAGTTTCACACCCATGCAGAACCACAGGCAAAATTATAGTTTTGTATATTCCAATTTTTATGTTTTTGGACAGCAGACGAGAAGACAAAATGTTCTGGCCCGAGTGGTAGCAAGCATTACCAGGAGTTCAGTCTCCTCTTAATTTCCTCCTGAATCTGAATGCCATTCTTATATTATTAAAAATAAACAGTTAACGATAACTGTGCTACTTTGTATACAGTGAAACATAACTGACATTGTATTATTTAAATGTATGTCATATTGAAAACTGCTTCAATTAAAAGTCATACACATATTTTAATAATATATTATATTATAGCATCCGGCTGCACATCACTTAGTGTCCAATGATACTGGTTCCACCGTCTCACGTGAAAAGCGCTTTTCTATAAAACTCATTAAAATGTATTCAATTTAAAAGTTGTGCACATCAAATAACTCTTAACAAAAGTTTTTATTACGTGTTTCGACCAACATGGCCAACATGAGATGTGTAAAATTATAGTTGAGGAAACTGCTGTGCTTATCGTCGCTTCGGTTGTTAATATACTCGTATGGTCCCCTTTGTGCGCATGCATATTCGAAGTGACGCGTTGTTCTTCTTGCTGTGTTCTGCTGTGTATCTATTTTAAGAATTTCCGTACCAACAATAAGATCAACCCGTGAATCTGAACAGAAATACCACAGAGGGGGGCCACATATTAAGAAGTTAAAGCCACGATATGAGAAGCACAGCAGTTTCTCAGCTATAATTTTAAATTTTTGATTATGACTATTGTGGTCGAAACATGTAGTGAAAAACTTTTAAAGTGAATAAACTTTAACAAGTTTTATAGAAAGATGTGTTGCACGTGCAACGGTGGAACTAGTAACAATTGGTACAACTTTAATGATTCTATATGATATCTTACATGTACTTTTTTCTTGTAGAGGTTGCATTCGTTTTCAAATTTTGATACAGTTCAACACTATCTTCAAGTGAAGTAAATAAAAGTGTCCCTGTAGACCTCTCATAATAAGTCGTATTTCTCTGTTTAACAGAGTTGTTCCACAAATTTTCAGATGCACTGTTCTTTTGACTCACCAAATGCTCATGCCCGCGTAACTTCTTTAAGAAGATACGTGCGTTATTGTTTAGGACAAACTGACTCAAAGCGCCATACGATGACTGTGAGAACATAATTTAAAAATTTAAATTAAAATTTTCATGCCCCTTATTTGGTGACGAATGTATCTGACAAGTATTAAAACCCAGTCGCTATAACTTTTTCATATCTGGGTTAACATTTGTGACGGATGCTTGCGAAAGATCATATTGAATGCTACTGAAATATTTTTTTTCATCTGAGTTGTTATCGAAGTTCTCTTTTCTGCCACGACTTGACACCCCATCAGAGGTATGCGCTTCACATGTTGGTAATCACAATTTTAACAAGATCAGAAATGAAAAGGAAGGACGGATTCAACGTTAAACCATACATTTTCAAGTGGGATTTGTGGTGGACAAAGTGGCGCTGGGTCATGTTTTCTCCGAGTACTTCGGTTTCCCTTGCCAATCTTTATTCCACCAAATTGTTCATCATCATAATTAGCTCGAGCATGTACAATAGACCTAACAGTGGCCGACGTGCCGAGTGGACCTAGCTGGACTCCACATCCCCACTATGTAAATTAAAAAAACATACATTCATGCACCGGGTATGGGAATTTATGAAAGCCGTCACGACATGACCTTTTGATTTATTGCCACAGCACTGGAAATGACAACTGTAAAACTTCACTAGTGGAAGAGCCTGTTAAAATTAAACAGATAATTATTTCTTCCGTGTCTTCATTCTTTACCTTTATCCAGAAAGACGAACGCTGTTCTTAAGGAACCGAGCTGCAGTTCGGCTGAGGGTACAGCTGTGACATTTGTGGGGGTTCCGCTGATCCCTCCAGAAAACGACAGAAGGAAGAAAAAATCCCTCTCACCTACCAGAATTCGAATCTCGATTCCTCGATTGTCCAGCCAGTTACGTAGCTGGTATTTTTTTCCTTGGCACTACAGCCCCAGTGGGCCTAGGCCTACCTCCATGAACTCCGTTCACTTCGGTTTTTCTCGATCTTACACATACGGTAGGACTCCTTGGGCGAGTGATCAGCTCGTCGCAAGGCCTCTACCTGTACACAAACACAGAAAAAAAAGCACACAAACATCCATGCCCTGAGTTGGATTCGAACCCACGACCCCGGCTTCTGAGCGAGCGAAGACAGTGCATGCCTTAGACCGCTCGGCTACCGTGACCGGCACCTAGTTGGTATACCAACTGAAATATACCATCTCGTTTTATGAATACATATGCGGTAGCGTATTTGGTTGAGGCACTATTCTACAAGTCGGAAGGTCGAGGGATCGAATCCCGATGAGGTGGATTTTTCAATTTACCTAATCCTTCCAGCCGCACTATAGCCCTGGGGTCGACTCAACCTCTAACAGGAATGGGTACCAGGAATATTCTTGGGGGTAAAGGGCGGCCGGCGCGTAAGGCTGACAACCTCACCGCCATCTATGAGCCGATTGTCTAGAAAATGTGTAAGCCTCAACATCTCACAACCCTACAGCCTTCACGGCCTGTTGCAGGGATACATTACTTTCCTTTAAGTTATTACTGAGGACAATCCTTATATGTGTCACGTATTTTTCGTACACTGTTAAAATTTTGAGAAATTGCATGAGAGTATGAAATTCCTGTGGGTGCCTCAAGAGTGCACGTGTCTGTACAAGCACAGACATCGGACAAACACGGCTTTTATTGTAAAGTAACTGAAGGCAATTTGAAAGTTACTCGTTTCGACTACCGTATTTACGCATGTATAGGCCGCGTGCGTGTATAGGCCGCAGCACAATTTTCAGACAGAAATTATAGAAAAAATAATTTTCTTGGAATATTATTTCAGGAGTAGAACATTCTGTATTACTAATTATGAATATATATTTTTTTAAAATGAAGTGTGATTTCGAATATTTCGAATATAAGCCGCACCCCAGTTTCCCTCTTGAATTTTTGACAAAAATGTGGGGCCTATATATGCGTAAATACGGTATTTTAATTCAACATCGTACCTTACTATTTCAGATGTGCAGAGGAAGCTGTATAGGTTCCCTTTTTGCAAACACATGGTAACATACGTACAGGAGATGGCAACACATATGTCACATAAGCAGGCGATAGTGTACGTGCATTATTACTGGGGCAGGTGCAGGGAGTTTTTGTGAGAAGTACTCCTTGGATGGGCCCCTTGTGAAAACAACAATAGTTATAATTA